ACCTCCTCAAGAACCTTCAGGAAGCCATGAGGGAGTCAACAGAGATCTACTGTGGCAGATCTAAACTTCTTCAACATACAAGTTCACATAAATTCTGGTTTCACATGTAGTCTCATAATTTGTATAAAAACATTTTTTACTTTATTATTATTACAACAGGTGCAGCAGACAAACATTAGCATTCTTTCTTTCCATTATTTACTTTACATGGGGAAGACCAACTAGATAGTGACCTCAGGACATCTGTGTCACATTTCACTCTCCATGGTCTTCATGCACTCCAAGATTCATGGAAGCATTAAATCCACAACGTTGGAATATCCAAAGCAGCCCTCTGAAACCAAGAGATAATCACACAGTCCAGCTTGGAGCCATGAAATAAAGCTGCTGTTACAAACTCTCTTGCTCCACACCACCCATCTCCCAGTAATCTGATGATTCAAAATGAATAGAAACAGAAGTGAGAAAATAGTGAAAAAACAAAACCACAGTGACTTCAAAAATAAACAAAAAGCCCAACCCAAAACAATCTGACTCATTACTGACTTTTGGGGTTTTTTAGGGATACACAAGGAGCCTAGCAAGACAAGGTGCTTATTGAATCACATTTATCAAGTGTTTTGACAGCAGCACCCATATTTTACCCCAAATGTAGAAATAAAATTTCCTGCATGCCCATGCTGTTTAGTCCAAGCAAACCTGGGGTACAGATCTCCAAGTGCACATTTGCAATACAAGAGGATTGCATCATGAAATTCCCCATAATGCATGTAATTCATGTGGTCATTCCAGGGATTTCACATAATCCTGACATTGGGGAAAAAACAGCCAAGGATTCCAGTTTTTGACACAGGATGTGAACACAGCAGCCCATTTGTTAACTGTAGCAGCTTTACCTCATCACCTTTGGATAGCAGCAAAGCAATGAACAGGACTGAAGTGTCTGTACTGAGTGAACTCCTGGAGGCTGCACGAAGCTCAGAGCCCAACAGTAAGAGTTTTACATCTTTCTGTAGGAGTTTTACACCTTTCTGTAGGAGCTTTACACCTTTCTGTCAGCCATTTATTCCTTCAAAATCCCAAATGCTTAGGCCTCATGTACAGTCCTGCATCAGCAGGAACCTGGAGCACAGAGCCCATGAATGCTTACCTCTGTCCCTTGTCTGAACACACCTGTAAGCCTGGAGCAGGTTTCCATACATTGTCTGACTTGGCAATACCTCTTAAAGAATAACTCAGAATTTTCAGACTGCAGGGTTTGCTTCTGCCAAAGGGATGTAACAGTATCAACTCTCTTACTTACTAACTAGTTATTAAGTAACACTATCCAGTCTTACTACCAAAACTAACCAGCAATGTCTGACTTTCAGTTTCACATCCATTTTCTTGCTGATGCAAGACAGTTTTTTCCACTGTTCCAGTTTGCTAACAAAGTGGTTTTTTTACTTAATTTAAATTGCACCAAAAAGCTGGGTAAGGAAACTCATTTGATGCTATCAAACCAGCAACTTTCCCAGCAGAGGTTTATACACAGGAATGGAGGACTGAAACAAAGTACCTAACTCAGTGCATCCAGTTCCTTACAGTCTTGTAATAAACACCTGGAAGAAAATAAAACAAACTTCATGTCATCAGCACACTAGACTAAACATTGCAGCATTTCCATTAAGGGCTGATGTTCTGTCTTAATAAACAAACAAAAAATCCCTCCCAAAACCCAAAACCAAACACCACCACCCTCGCCCCAAAGAACAACAACAACTACTGCATTCCAAAGGGAACAGGAAGAAAGTTTCATGTTTTGTCAATGCCCAAATATTCTTTGGGAAACACAGCGGTACAGCTCTGTAACCTGCAGTACCTCTCCTCTTTCATCTCATCATTTCATTGATTATTAAATAGAGACCAGTATTCATTATCTTTTCTTATCCAGTAAGTGAAGAGGATGTATTTTACCCAAACAAACCTTTAAATGGCAAACTGAATTCATAAAAACCATCTATTCCAGGCTGATTAGAGGGTCCTCCACTTCCTATATACTCTCCACAAGTGATGGTTTTTGTGGGCATGCTATGCGCAAAAAAGAACAAAGTGCTGATATTTACATTGCCATCAACTTAAAATTGTTATTAAAGAAGATCCCTGAAATGCCTGTATCCCTTTATAGGTATTCTTCAGATTATCTCATCCACTGTCCTGCCCAAGAGGCTGAATGCAATTACACAGGAGCCAAGATTCTGCAAGTTCTGGTGCTCAAAGTAGAAAATGCCAATACTTGCTGCAAGTGGTTACTGCTCACAGAAGACTGTGCAGACTGTCTGTAGCAGGAGAGTCAAAAGCACAGGACAAAATGCAGTTCACTGCTCACAAGTCAGCTGAACAAGCTTCTGCAAAAAACTTCCACCAAAGAATTTCCCAATAATAAGATCCTCATGTAGTAACAGGTAATGTAAAATTTCTATGTACAAATTGCACAGAATAAATTTAATCTAGAGAGAGGCAGCTGTGGCACATCAAAGAGAAAAACAAACCTCTGACAACACTAATGCCCAAGCTAACTTGTGAGGCCATAAAAAGAGCTTTAGCATCTTGCACATCTGTAAAGGAAAATATTATTCTGGAAATTAGTGATCAAGATTATTAATAGAGTTACAAATTTTTAATCCACATTCGAAATTGCAACTACTTCAAAGGCAGCCTTCAGAAACCACCTAAGGAGCTTTATTAATTATCTTACCACTGTGAGTCTTCTGACAAGTGTGGAAGAGCATTTGTTTAGGAGACAGGAAGCAGGATTTAAAAGCCACTTGATACTGAATGGAAGTTCCAGGCAGTTGGGTGGCTTGAATCAATCACTCCCAACTGCAGAAATGCTCAGTTCACATCACATGAAACTGAATCACACAGATATTCACACTTTTTTATTTTATATTCAGTCCAGCACAGATCCCTCCTCTAGTCTTATATCAAGAACTGCCAATGCTTTAAGATGAGCCTTACATATTATTGTGACATGAACTTGCTGACAACCACAGAATCCTTATGCTTTTCAGATTCTTTACTGTTACCCTAGGGAACTGAAATTGTTTCCACACACAGTTTTCAAACTGCAGAGAGGAAACACAAATAGCCAGTGATAGTTCCTGCAAGGCACAAGCAGAGCTCAGCACCTCTCCAGCACAGCATTTCTGAGTTTTTAATTACACAGCAGTGCTAAGTCACAGCCATCATGCGTAGGACATGTGCTGATGCTGGGCATGACAACACCATTTCATCCCTCTCAGTCAACAAAAAAATCACTGTAGTTGTGCAATCTTATGACAAGCATATGCCTGGAATAATAGCACTCACTCTGCAGCTACCACTCAGTTCCTTTTAGAGGATTATAACTTGTTATTTATGGGCATTAATGTCATCTAGACACAGTTTTTAAATCTCTCTCAGGAAGTGTTAAAAATGCTAAAAACGTTGCCGTGGTAGCAGACATATTATATTTAGTAGATGAACTCTGAAGTATTCTGTTGCATTAGTTTAGCATTCCACTATATTTATAATACTCAATATTGTTTTTGAAGGAAACCATCAGCATTGAGTACAGATAACAGCAGGAGAACAAAGAGCTCACACTCAATTGAGGATCCTTCAGGGAGTTCTGAGTGTTGACATAGTCAGTTCAAGGTGTTGTTATGAGCACTTCTTTTCAATGTGGAAAGCAGAGCATTAATAACAATATGAAGTTTCTTATTTCTTTTGTCTGAGCTCCAGAGCTACCTATGCTAAAAGAACTTGTAAATTAAAAGATACACATTGTATACAAACGAATAAAAATACAGCCCCAACTCACACTTGCAAAGTATCTGCTTTTGTTCCTTAAACAGTAACAATACAACATATTTTGTTCAGAATTATTTTATTTGGATTATAGCAATTAGTATCACTGTTCAGTAGGCCAAATCCAGGCAGAGAGCACAGAATCAACTGCACAAGGCAACAACACAGACTAGTATTTTAGCATACAAACCATTTCACTGCATTATCAAGTTGAAATATCTTTCAACCATGCATAAAAAAATCTATGCTTAAGTCTTTCAGAGCTCCAGGTAATATCAGATTCCTAAATATACAAAAAATACATTTAACTTATAATAATCTTAGTGAATCAGACTTATAAAATTACAATTTTATTCTTCACAACATAGAAAAAAATACAAAAATGACTGTATATAGTTTTCACCCAAGTTTCACTGACATATACATCAAAATATATGATTTGATGTATACTCATGAAAATTTTAAGCTGAAAGATAAGTTTTAAAATGACACTGCAGATTGGTCCACACAAATGCCAACCTTCATAATGATAAGAAAAAAACCCTCTGATAAAAACATCACATTGTGAAAAATTACGATTTACCTGCACTGTAACCTGCATTCTTACTGTAATTTACAAATATGAACATTTCTACAATTCCAGTTGTAAAGCACACACTGGTGAAAACCTTGGTCTTTTGGAGAGTAGTGACTAAGTCAGAGCTGGCATGGTAGAACAGAAAGTGCTGTCAACTGAACCAGTGCACACAACAGCACCAAAGCAGGGGGGCCTGCTGGTCTGGAGAGGCTGAGAGAGAACATGCAAGCCAAGTAAACAGTCTGTGGGGAAAATAAACCCCTCTGCACTTGTGACACAGTACCAATCAAAGCTTCTGTTATAGAGCTCAAGAAACCACAATTTCAGTGACAGATGAGGGGAAACTTCTTCTCTTATGAGGAGAAGAAACCCCACATGTGTCAGCAAAATCAGTATTAGGGAACAACCCAAACAGTTTTAAGGTATCACACTACAGTTCTCTCTCAAGATCACCTTCCAGTGATTTCCATGGAAGTTTAACTTGAAAAAGCACTGCAACATAAAGCACTGAATTTTTGAACACACTAACTGCACATTCAGACTTCAGAATATAATCCATAAACCATCTTTGCCGGAAAGAATTCTGACTGACAATGCAACTACTTTTTCTTCTGAAAGGAAAAGTAACTCCATTTTATTTTAAAAGGCCATAGTTTATTTGCATTTTTGTCATAAACGGGATACTTTCAATTAAAGTTAATATTCCATAGTACAGCCTATTCAGCAAAGGTGTTGGTTGTAGAAGTTTTCTCACTACTGGCAGCTTGCTCTGCTTTTCCATGGTGCCAGTGCTATCTGTGTAGATCTGTTCTGTATCTTTCTCATCAACAGAGCCTGGAGCTTGTTTCATGCAGGAATATTACACAGCCATTTTTTATCTCCAAATTGGACCAACAAATTTGAAACCAAATCTTTTACTTGGGCACAGAAATCAAATTAAGAAAAGTTCAGGAGCTGAGCATTGACAATATCCAGTAACCTAAGTACATCAGGAAATCAGATCTTTTAGATTACATCCTTCAGAAATATTGACATTAATTTCTTTAATAGCAAGTAGAAGCAAAAGGAGATTTTTGTCCAGAGGTGGAAGTTCACACTTTCAAACAATGACTTCAGAATAATGTAACATTTCTCAGATCACTACAACAAAGCACATAACCTAATGCATAAATTAATTGAATTTTTGCATCTTTGAATCCAAAACCATTTTGAGGTTGTATATGGCCATAGTAATACAATCACAGAATTGTTTGGGTTGGAAAAGACCTCTAAGATTGAGTCCAACCATCATCCTAACACTGCAAAATCCCAGTAAACCTCATCCTTATGCACCAATCTTCAGGTATTTTAAATACCTTCAAGGATGGTGACTCTATCACTTCCCTGGGCAGCTTGTTGCAATGCCTGACATTTCTTTCCATGAAGAAATTTTCCCTAATATCCCATCTAGACCTTCCTTGGCACAACAAGAGGCAGTAGGCTCTAGTCCTATTGCTTGTACCTTGGGAGAAAAGACCAACACCCAACTTGCTACAACCTCCTGTGTTTTATAATCCAGTCAATAACTGGCTCCAAAATGTTGAAAATAGAACAAAGATTATTATTGTCCCTTGTCCTTTCTCTGCCTATAATAATCCTGTTTGTGTTGAACAGGAAAGGCTCTGTATAGTCAGAGACAGGGAAATTCAGTCTTTTTGATGGAGCCAAAGAAAAATCACTGAAAAATAACAAGTTTGGTTTTTTTTAATATTGCTCTGACAAGCATAAATCTGAATAACTGTATATAATAACTGTATATGATAACTGTAAATCCAGCTCTTCCCAACTGCTAGAACAGAGAGCCTGTGTTCTCAGTACCTCCCAGCTGTGTTTAGATGAGCTGGGATGTGTCAAACACAACCAGGCCATGTGCAGGGGAGTGCTGGCAGGCCCAGCATGAGGCAGCACTGCAGGCAGCATGGGAGGGTCACACCTCAGCTGTGCACTGAATCATGACCAGAGGGAAGCCAGAGAGGCTCACATGTCTAGTGACTCCCACTGGCTGCAGACAGGACTGTCTGGCCATCAATTCCTAACAGAGCAAAGCCATAACCTACATTTCCTTTTGTCTCTGCCTGGATATCCATTCATTTACCTTCTCCTTTTGCTCCCTTCATTCCCCACCCTGTTGCTCCCAATCAGAAGTTTCTTCTAGGCTTGGGCCCAGCTCACACAGCACTAATGCTTTCTGCCTCACCACAAGCCTTTCTCAGCTCCTTCCTTTTCCTTTTACCTTCCAAGGAAAGGTAAAGCCTAAGAACCTGAGAAAGCACCTAGGAGAATGTAACTTCTTGTGGCCTTCTACTCTTTCCAAAGAGCAGACGAGGGTGGCTTGTCCTCCAGGCAAAGGCAGCGAGTAACACGTGAGAATTTGCTCTGCAGATTATGACTTTGCAACACTTCAGAAGCTGAGTGCCTGGAACTGCCTGCTTGGAAGTGCCAGAGTGATGACCTCAGTCACTTGAGAAAAGTCAGGCTAAGGAACAAGGCTCCCAAACACAGAAGACCAAGCAGACCTCAGCACTGAAAGATGAGTATCACAAACAATGACTAGAGATGATAATTTATAGTAAAAAAGGGAGAACTGCACCTGTTTCTGGGTGAACTACCTCCTTATATTCTTTAGATTCATTACTGATACCACTGAAGTATTACAGTTAGTATTATTTATTTTTTTAATATGTAAAAAAGTATTCAGGGATGCAGTACTTGGGGTAGTTTTAATGTTTTGGGTAAGAACTGCAGTCTCTGAATTAATATTAGCATTTGAGTGATCAGCTTAAACAAGATCTTCAGAGAGCACACTCTGGTCAGACACTGTTTAAATTCCTAAAGAACCACATTCCCCTCATTTTCCGTAATTGGTTTCTTGTTCTTGTTCCCATCACCTTTAAATACACAACCTACCTTTCTAAATTCAAATACTTTGCCCAGATTACATTCTCCACTGAAGTCTCTGACATTATCCTGAAATATTCCAGAGCATATTGTTTGCTTTCCCAGCAATACATACAGTTTCTGGCATGCAGTCAAGCACTTAAAAAAGGAGGTATCAGTAATATAATCCCAATTCAGGCATTTAGTGGGTACAACTTCATCACTCATACTGCAACCTTCAGGCATTTAGTAATAAATGAAAACCATTTAGCACATCATTTAAGGAAAAGGTTAACTGCCAAGCCATATAAAGTTTAAGTTTTCCGAAGCACTGCAAGCTGAAATTATTTCAATGTTTGACATCCTGGAATTTCACTGAAAACAGATTTATTAGTTATTCTTGCTAAATTACTGGTCTTTTACCTCTGACTTATCTTGGTATACTCTTTACAAATGTGCTGGGTATTGAAAAACTGCAGCATTTTGATGTTTGAAAAGTTCTGAAAAAGAGTTGGAATTACTCCGGCTTCTTGTGTTCCTCAGTGTGGGAGAGAACCTTCCGCCTCTGATGCAGCATGTGGAAATAGAGCTGAGGGAAGACTGAGGAGAAAACACACCCAAGTCAATAAAGAGTTAAGAGAGGCCTGCAAGATGCACAGTACATGGTCAATTCACCAATCCTCTATTACAGGATGTGCTAATCCACTTTTTGCCTAAATTATCTATTGCCTTTACACTCTAAAGAGATGAACTGATATTGTTCTTAGGCTTCAGGTACTATTAATTTTTCTGCTAGCGAAATCACATTTTTAGTAAAATGCAAAATGCCTTATTTAACTCTAAATGTGGAAGCAGATGACAAAAGCTGCCTTAACTGCATGCACACAACACAAAGAAAACAGACTGCAGGGCAGAAAGATTTCCAGATTTGTTTGATTTTTTGTAATTCTACTGTCACTTTTTCAGGCTCTAAGGCATTTTATACACATCAGTGCCTCTTTCATCTCTGTCTATCCAGAGATTTTTCTCTTTTTATTTCTAAAACTATGGTAAACAGCATGTTTGCAAAACAACAAAGGAGGGGGTGGAAAACATACATACACAAACAGCAAAAGCTGAAATTTCCATGAGAAACCTTTGGGAACCATGCAAAAATTAAACAAGGTCATCAGCAGGCTAAATTGGTTACTCCTATGTATGTTAATCCCATAATTGTTTACTTTTCCCAGAACAGCTGTTAATACTAAGAAACCTAACAAACTCATACTTACTTGGAATGTAAGAGATCATGACCAGGATCAGGAATGTATAGTAGTCAAATGAAAAATTGTACTTGTTAGGTAAACTAATGGAATACAAGCCAGACTGCCTGACGAAGGGTAATGCAGCATATATTGTGAGTAATTCACCTGAGACTCCCATTGGATACAATACTATAAACAAAGTGTACCTAGAATGAAACACAGAAAGAATTAAAAGTTATGACAAACTCTGACAAAATATTTGTTAAATGATATTAGAGATATTCAAATTTTGAATTCTCCACTCAGTATTTCTTTTTCTTAGATCTTATTTGATTAGAGCATGGCAAGGTATGAGCACTATTGCAAGGTGAGTATTCAGATCAGCAATCATTTGGAAATACTTAAAGATTTTATATGACAATCTACAAATTATCTTTAAAGCTATTCTCCACACATACACACTTTGTTAATTTGATTTCTGAACTCTTTGGTAGAAGTAATTTTACTACTTAAAACGGGGTCAAATATAGTTGATGTTAATCAATGAGCTTAAATGCTATTTCAATGACAACCACTGCATTCAAGAACTACTGCTAAATGTCAGTTTACTTACTGCCATCCCCTACTGTTACATATCAGTTTCTGACAAATAATTATTTTGAAAATGAGTTCAGACAAATGCCTCTTTCAGCTTGCAACGTAATAAATCTTTGTAACCCAAAAATCTGCTAGAAAGAAGCTAGGCAGCCACGTTCACAAACAGGGCAATTACCTGAAGGCAGAATCTAATTTTTTTGCACTGCAACTACTTTACAAGATAAATATCCCTGTCAGATCAGTGCTTTAAGGCTGTTACTTTTACCATGCTACCGACCTGGCCCATTTGATGAGATAAGGGAGATGGTTTAACAAGCTAAAGGTGTAAAAAGAGTAACGGATGATCTCGGTGATTGTCCAGGCTACTACAAACAAGAGGACACTGTCTTCACTTTGTACCTGTGAGAACAGAGAAAAGGCTTTGTATGAGCTTGAGCATTACCAGTTATTCACCAGACCCAAGGAAACCTCACAGAAATCAATTCCTGTGGGTTACTTTACTGCATCATTTTAGAGAACAGACTCCAAGAATGAGCTTAAAAGCAACATTAGTAACAACAGTAAAAAACCCTTCTTATCATGCTCTGTATTTTTCTAGTTGCTTAAGAATAGCTCTGCTTCATGATCAGTTAACTTCAGCTCTCATATTCTGAGCAAGGTAAACTGGTAGAAGAAATCCTGAAATGCTGAGAATAATTCTTAACTTTTCCCATTCTATAAAGTGCCAGTTTCTATTTCAGTCCTATGACTGTCTCCTAGTGCAGAAAGAATGGTCTAACACCTGATACTTGGTATACACTTAATATTCTGATACCAGCTCATGGTGCTTCTGAGCAGAAGCACTGTTTTCCTTTTCTGGCCAGAAACTGGGTGCTACTTTTGAGCAGCAGCAGAACAGCTAACACCAGATCTCAGGCTGGCAGGAGAGAAGAACCATGCTCAGATTGTCTCACCTCAGGTAAGCTTGACAGGCACCTGATTCACTGTTCCTTGCTCCATTTTCTGCTTATTGTAACTAGCACAGTTCCTCTAATGTTACACTCAAGGCAGTATCACGTTTCACTGCTTTACACCTCTTGGAGCTTTTATGTCACTCACACATCAGTGAAGCAGCTGCAACTCCACATTTTAACCCTGAGATCAGCTCAGCTGCTCTGAGCATGGTGCTAATAATGCCAAGCTTGTGGGCTTGATCCCTGCATGGGATCATTTAGGAGCTGACTCAGTGATCCTTGTGGGCCCCTTCAAGCCCAAAACATTCTGTAATAAACTGCCTTTGTCTGTGATATTTATAAGGTAAATCCTCAAAAGCATGTACTTTAAAATGAAGAGTTATATTGATCAGATTATGGAGCATCATTATAAGGTTCAAGTTCCTGATGGATCTCAAGTATATGTGGAGTCACAAACCCCAGAACTAACTCTTCAGGGACCAAACATGATTTTAATTCAGCCTTCTCCCTCTACTCTTCAACAGAATTCCCAGCTGTGTGAACACCTTGAGCCCAAATTCAGTGGACAGTGGGAACGAAAAGAGCCCAACCACATGGGCCCATATTTTCTCTTTTCCTCCAATTCTTGAAAAAAGGGAAAAGGAAGTCAGGAGATGTGGGTGGTGCACTCTATTCATCTTGGACAAAATAGAAACCAACAGAAAAAAAAAGGATGAAGAATATAATATATATACACACACAGACACATATATATATATATTTATATATATATATGTGTGTGTGTATATGTGGACAATCAGAATTTTCTTAATAGGAGGGGACTGATAATATACTCTTGGGTAAGAAAAGGGAAATTTTTTCCAAGGGAATTACCCAGAAAAAGCTTTGTTACACACTGCAAAACCCAGAAAAATTTATACAGAAATTTTGAGCTATCCTGGAATGCAGAGCTGCTGGTAATCAGTATTGTGCTGTAAATCTATGTTCTGCAGCCTGTAACATTTCAGGTCACTTTCACTGCATTTTGCAGCAAAAGCATCTTATTCTTTTCCCGCATTCTGACAATTTGTTTATATATTAATCTCCCTTACATCATCATAAAAGAGCAAAATCCAAAAATTATTTGAAGATTTTCAGAGAAGAGACCCAATCTATTTTTAGACATTGCTGCAGGATCCTAATCCTGTTTGAGGTCTGCATTATAAGTTCCTAGTTCTCAGCAGGGAAAAGTGAGCAGATGCTGCTGCTCCTGAGGAGGAACGTGCTTGACAAGCACTCCAGAGCTGCATCTTCTGGCCAGCTCGGGAGTAGCAGCTTCGTGATGAGTTCACCCAAACCTGTGAGTCCCAGGCTTCAACCTGTGCTTTAAATCCCACTTCTTTCCCTAGCTATGGAAATGGGAAAAGTCAAAACCCAAGAGTTTGGGTTTTGCAGTAGCATCCAAGGATATGAGCAAGGACAAGAAACTGGGGTGCTACCAGTGAATCATACACATGGAAGTGGAAATTACAGCAGTTACAGTCCAGTTCTATCACATGACATCTCCAACACTGCCTCCAAGGTCTGGTCTCCCCCTCTCCTTGGTATTTAAGTTATTAAAACAGTTCACCCCATTATGAAACACACAACCCTGTCAGGTCACTTCAAGAATCACTGATTGGGCCTTCATAGCTTGTCTCCCTATCTAAGGAAAAACAATTTTTCAGGAGTCCTTACTCTTTTAGCCACTGCTAATGCTGCATTTGCATCATTCCTCCTCCAGGTTGAAGACAGAAATACACAATAACCACTCAGGCCAATGCTCCCTGAGAATTCAATTCTTCTTCCCCTACTTTCTTCATGCCAGTCTTTCATGGAAGTCTTAGACACAAGTCAAAACTTTATTTACACCTTATTATCCAACTCTTTTAATAGGGGTCAATCAAACAACAGGCATAATTTCTGGCATGTGTTTCAAGCCAACATATCATCAAGGAAAGTCCTGGATATATTTCAGCTTTTCTTAAATACTGTGAATAGCCAACAATGTTTGCTGAAATATAAAAGAAACCACTGTCTTTTAAGATGCAAAGATGAGAACTGGGAGTTGACAAAATAAAGCCTGAGAGGTTTTTAATGTTCTCCTTAAGATTGGAAAGGGAAATCTCTCTACATTAAGAGAAACAGTTTGACAAATTTGCAGAAAATTTCAGCTAAACACATAATTAAGCAATCCAATGCAGAAGAGCAAAACCAGCAGCACTATGCAAGTGTAATGATGGAAAATATTGGAACAGCATGTCTCTCTCCAAAGAGCTGGTTCTCTGGTGCAGTAATTAAAAAATAAAACATAAAATTCAGGGGAAAAAAAGGGAAGCTTCACAGTAGGCACAAGCGGCCTGACAGACTATTGTGTTGTATGGTATTGCTTTAATTTTACATAGATGTAAAGCAATGATGAGTCAGGTTTTTCAACTGTACTCAGCCATTCAGACTTCTGACCCTTCCATCATGGACTTTTTACAACAACTTAGTCCTAAATATCCTAAGTTAAGATGTCCTTCCCTCTTTTAAGTAAGTATGCTTTACTACTGATAGAAGATATCAATTCCCCACTGCAGTTACTAGAGTCCCAATTACCAATTCTACATGCTTTAAATGATGTTTTCACAGCATCTCTTGCCTGTGTGTTCTACAAAAGTTCCTCTAAATATAAATTACACTTATTTGCAACCCATCAGTAACTGAGCCCAATGGGATAAGCAATATATGCCTGCTGACACCTTTTTTTAATTACCCATCAGAACTGGGTGCAGAATTATCTATCAGAATGGAACTCCACAAAGGCCTGCCATGATGTCACCAGATGATCTCACTGCTCACACAAATTCCAAAAGACCTCTTTTGAGCTGAAGGGCACTTTCTGTTCTCCTATGCCTACATTTTCCCCGCCCTTCACACCAGGCTGTTTGTTCTCTGCCCTCCTTTGCAGGGGAAACAGTAAAATTCACTGAACTGGCTCCTCTCTGACATAATGGCCAGCACTGATATGTGCCAGGCCCTCCTCCACAACACCAACAACTGCTCCCACAGTGCAGGTGAGGAGAATCTCAGTGTGCAGTGCTTTAACATTGCCATGCTTTAACATTTATTGTGAATAACTTCATATTGAGTTTAACAACGCAGCAGCACTGAAGTCCACAAAAAGCACAAACATGTTAGTGGCAAGAAGCATGCTTCAAATCACATCACATTTCCAAAAGTGTATCCTGACAGAAGGAGGGATGCAATACACATTTCTTCTTTTAGCTGTATTATATATGAAAACAGTCTGGAAAAGCAAGATACTGAATAAGTCTCATTCAAAAAGTTAAAGAGGAAAACTGCAGTTTGTTTTACAAGGACCTCATCATGCAACTGCATTGCTTACAAGTTCCACAAAGCTGTGTGAGAATTTAATCCTGGCCTTCACCATGGAGCTCACTTGTGCAGACAGCCCTTTAGAGAAAGTAGAACACTTGTGACACTCGCAAAACATCTCCCCAGGTGAGCCTGCAGCTCCCTGGTCGGGGCAAGGGGAGGGAGCAAACACAGCCTCTTATTTGATTTATTGGCTCTAAGTCATAGGTCAGAAATTCATCACAGGGTTCCTTATCCAAGTCATTCTCATACCCACTCTCTAAGACATTAAAAAAGTAACACAATACAGTCTTTTGCAAGACTTTAACCAGAAGACCACCTAGGTGCGGGAAAAAAATCTGCATGGAATATTGTTGAAAGAATCCTTCTTAAAAGTCAAATATTTGGCTATACTCATTTCTCCCATTTTGTCAATTTTCTCTGGTGAGAATGTGGGCATAAGCTTCAAAAAAACCTAACCCACAATCACATTACAGGTTTTTCTTTGGTGTCTAACAGACAACACATGGAATAATTCTAATCCTTCCAATGTAACCTTTAATGTTTGGGTTACTTCAAAACCAGGAGACAATTCATAAAAACAGATTATCACTGTTTTTTATGAAGCACCAGATATCCCAAAATCATATAGATAACAAGCAAAACTCAAAAAGTATTTACTGTAAGCATTTTATAAATATATATAAAATCTAACATCTTGAGATTATGTTTGTTTTTTTTTTTTTATCAAAACCTAGTACTTATTTCTGGTGAGTTAAACAGAGGCCAGATTACATTAATGTGCACCAATAGGGAAGTCCATTAGAAAATAGGTTTTATGTTTATTGAGAAAAATAACATTCCTCCACTTTAAGTAGTATGAAACTAAAGCTTCACATGAACAAGCATCACAATACCAGAAAGGACTGATAATTGCTGGGAACTACAGTGACTTATGTTACTCTACATGTGCATGGATGCTCTGATAGCAGGTTTGGAGGAAGGAAGAGAAAGCAGCTTCCCTCAAGACTTTGCAGTAAGACAAGTTCCTTAAGACATTCTCCATTCAAGTCACAAATAATCTTATGCATAAAATGACTGTCACTTATTTCAGGCACCCATGCTGACACTAATTTCTTTCTTTAATGAGAAGAAAACCAGTAAAATTAGTTGGCTACAGCAGAGATGCAGCATATTTGGGCTACTACAAGGATTCAGATGACATGAGTCAGTCACCATAACCTGTACCAATTAAAGCATATCTAGATTTTAAAACAGCTGTCAGGAATAATCTTCAAAACACAGGGCTTCCAAAAGGTTCTAAAGAGATCTGCCTAAAGTACAGCACTGTTTGGTGTGGTGAGCAGTGAGAAAAACACTCAGTCCCCAAAATTTACCTACATTTGAATATAAGAAAATTGATGAAGGACAGAAGAAAGATTATCCTGGAGAGTGGCAATGGAGAGCATGGAGCAGTGCTGTGCACAAACAACTGAGGGGGAGTTTCAGGTGCCACAGGAACTGAACTGCATATGCAGGAGGGCAGTGAGATTTTGCTTTTAATGATATATGTGAGATGAACACTACAAGGCTGTACCAAATTCTGTGTTCTGTGTCACACACTGGAAGCTTTTGCCTGTCAGTAAGGACTGCAGAATCTATCCAGGAGCCAGATGTCTCACAGGGACAGAATCAGACCTCGCTCTGTTTGACTGTTAACAAAAGATGACATCAGATCTATTTTTATTTCTTTTGATCCACAGAAATTCATGTGAACAATTTCCCATGGTGGGATACAAACAGAAGACATTTTAAGGACAATAAGACAGCAATCAACACTTGCTTTTCAGCATGGATCAATAGCTTTTCTATCAATTTGTATCTTGACTTACCTCTTTTACACTATGTGTTACTGCCCATGTCAGGAAAACCCTTGACATCACTTGGAAAGCAGTCAGAACAACAGAAGAGGGGACAATGCCTGGAAGATATTTTGCAATTAGTAAATATGCCTGATTAACAAGGCAGGGGGTAGGGGTGGGGAAATAAAACACAGCTAAACCAAAGTCCAGTTATTTGAAATTTCTGGAAGGAAAGCATATAATTTTTTTTTTAATTTGAAAATCTGAAGTCAGTCCTTCAGTATGTTTATACAGCACAATGCAGTGCAATCCCCTGACAAGGCTTTCTGCATCAAAATGCAAACAAATGTAATTGATCTCATTGCAATCACAGCACATTCCTCAATACACAGAACAGCTCAATCAGATAATTCCAATCAAACAGCTTCTGGGATACAGAATTTCAAATAATCCTGTTTGATTACAATATCCAAGATACTCTTCATTACTGTGATTTAAAAAGTAAAGACAATAAATATGCTTTGCACTGTATACTCTGTAAAAAAAAGAGCCATCAAAAATTATAAGTCTTTCTCAGAAATACTGATCTAGCCCATATTTCGATAGATGAAATGTTTGTAGCTCCTTCCTGGAAATACAACTCAGAAAAACCCCCAAACCAAAAAAAAAACAACCAAAAAAACCAAACCCACAAGAAAAACCCCAGGGAACAGTTGATGCACTGGCAGGTACAGAGGCAACTTGAAGATTTTCTCAAGCAAGCAGAATTCACTGGTTCTCCCAGCAAGTTCCAACTGACCTGTCAGTGAAAGGACCCTACACAGCCAGGTCTGTCACAGCAGGAATAGTTTTAGATTGTAAGATTACACAAAATTTCTAAACTTTGCATCCCAAAGTTTTATTTTCTTCCAATGGCTAAATTGCAGGTGTAGCTCCTAAGAGACAGTAAAAAGTGCTTGTAAAGCTAAAGCAAACCACAAGCCACACAACAGCCTCAAAAACATACAGGGACCAAAGAGAAAATGAAATGGGAGGAAAGAGTAAGAAAAGTCAAAAGCAAGTTTCAGTTGAATTATTTTCATTGATATGTTTTGGCTTCTTTGAGAGGAAAAAGGAAAATCCTACAGACATAGTTTTCTTCAGTTTTATCCCACTGTCTTGGTCTCTGGACTACATGTTACCTCCTTTCCAGCTCTGTATTTTTAAAATCTTTGCCATGTGTCAAAGTCCTGCTCTCAACCACGCTTCACAGAGACACTCCCCTATCAATCCTTGTATTTTGAAGGACTTGCCTCACAGATGCTAACATTTCAGATTCTACTGAAAAGATGTGGAGAGAAAAGTTATGCTGATACACACAGCCATCTGTCACACATAAGCTTTTCTATTGACAGAGAATTACAGCTCTAGTTAGAGCAATTAGTTCAGCAGGGGCAAAGGAATCTGCAAATTTCCTGTTTCTCCTTGCATAGGAACTTGTGCTACAGTCAGTAGGAGTGCAGCAGACAGCAGCAGTGCATCCAGCTGTGCAAACCCCCCTCACTTTATTTAGCTGACAAACACTTCCATTAACAGAAAAAAATATAATCCACAGCCACTTAGAAGAAAACCAGTCTTTTGCAAAAGAGTTTTGTTAGTAAAAAGAAAAGAATAAAAAGAATAAAAGTAAAAAGAATAAAAACAGCATAAAATGTTGCCACTTTCTCCTAATGGCTCTCTCTAATATTAAATTGTGTTACTAAGGATCACATGGGCTAAATGGATCCACACCTCAAATAAACTGAGAAAACAGCAAAGCATTATGGATTTAGGATGATAAAACCAGCATTTTATCTGCAAAGTTCTTTCTCCAGTGTTCCAAGATTTAACTTCTGCTTCTTGCCACTTGTTAAATAAGAACTTAAAAATGGTACATTTTAATATTAATTTTGGACAAGTTTTTTAAAAGTATGGTTTATTCTGGTAAAAAACAGTAATTGAGATTTAGTAAAATTAAACTGCATTGGAAGAACTGCCTTGGCAGCACAGGCAAATAGGTGATAGACACAGTTTACTCTGAGAAGCCTTTACATTAATTTGAGTTGTATATGATCATTCCCTTCCTGGGGTGATCTGTGCAGTTTATGAAATGCCTTCTCAAGACATTTTCAGAGCAGCTGGATGATTCAGGAGGGTCAGAACTACTTCATTAACTATAGAACCAGACTGCCCTCTGCTGACACATTCCTAGCACCAGCTCTCCCAACACCTCACTTGGTTATTGCAGCATCCCCCAGAACTCACTATGAACCTACAATCCCATAACTTCTCCATTATGTGGCTGTCTGGACAATGATGAAAAACGCCAAATTTGTAGTTGCAGCTTTAGGAACCTCAACACCATCTTTAAGTAGTGGCTAGTGAACATTCAGATAGGAGCTAAAGCACTGTTTAATTGTTTTGTGACTTCTCAAATTAGGGAGTTAAAAACTGCAATGTCTTTCAAACAAAAATTAGTAAGTTATGCAAGCAGTAAATTCTGCAATTCACAGACTGTAACATTTTTCTTGCTAATATATTGCTAAAAGTTCAGTCTTCTATAAAAATAGTAAACAGAAAATTTGCAAGCTTACCAAGTGCACAGTGCAGAATCTAGAACAAAAAGAAAAATTCAAATCACTAACATTTCAAATTAAGCAATTCAGACACACATTTAGTTCTGTTACAAGTGCTTAAGATTCAGTATTTGCATTTCAATGATTAAGATTAATATTTAGCTCTGCTGCCCAAGCTAAACAGCAGACAGTAAAACTCCCTCTTGCTAAAAGGAAAACTCAGCTTTTGTGTGAGCTCTTCAGTAGAATGAAAGTAAATGTAAGAAATACAACACATTCATGCAAATATTAGTAAGGCCAGGGAACAGGACTACACCCACCTCCAGCAAAGCTCCAGTTTGGAAGAATTTCAGAGGCTTTTCTATTGAATAGTAAAGGCTGTGGTAGCTGCCTTTAGCCAGATATGCCCGAACTAGGCCGACTGCAATAACGAGCCACCTGAAACAGAGACAAAAGGAGACATTAAGCAAAGCATAAATTAAAAGAAACCTTTAATCTCTCTTTCAATACTTGAGAAAGCAACAGGCAAAACTGTCCTGAAATACACTAATTCTGCAACACTGCAAATGTCAAATACTTGCATCTTCTACAAATTTACCCAAGTGAAAGATGATGCATTTTAAAAGCATTTTTCAGCACCAACATGGTAGCAATTTCTCTAATGTCTCCATTTATTTTTCAGTGAGCTCTGTTTAATTAGTTATGGAATGTATTCATGGCAGATAGGCATCATATTTTCTCAGTTTAAGCAGAAAACCCCTGACAGCTAGTCAGAGACCTATTACCAGCTTAGAGCAGTATGACATAAACAAGATTCAGAAGGAATGGATTTTAACATTTTGGTTCAGTTCAAAGTAAACCCCTGGACTCTATGAGAGGTCATCCAGCTTAGCTGGGAGCATATATATATGAGAAATGGTTATAGATGAATAACTTCAAGGAAACTGAGCTTGCTAAAGCCTTGAAGACAGCCATGGTCATTCCCACCCCAGTTTTCCTTTTTAACCACATCTGAGCCTATGTAAGCCATGCCCTTGTAACTCCAACTGTATGTGAACAATGGGACCTGTTAACCCTGCTGATTTTCCCTTTAGGGAACTTAAACCTAAAAATTTTTCATCCTGGCTGATGAAGCTTCCACTGATTACCACAGCTGTCCAGAGCTGGTGCTTGCCCCCAGCATGAGAAATTCTTCAGTCAAGTCTTTGCCAAGCCACAAATCCAAGGTGAGTGGTCAACTCCAATCAAACACTTACCATTTGAAAATAGCATCTATAGTGAGCTTTATTTCCAATTGCTTTTGGCAATCTGGAGAGAAGGGGTTGGTTGGTCAAGAACAATCCTTAACAGGGGCCCCCAAACCTTTCACTGACAGGCTCATCCTGGCTGTCTAACACTCAATTACTCTGAATGCCACCCAGTTTTACCTCCATCTCCCTCCAAACTCCTTGCGTAAATAACCAAGTGTCATTGCTAACAGCTCACCTCAATGTGTGGACATGTAGCAAACCCACTGACTACACAATGGTTTTCACCCTTTGGAAAAATGTGTAGCTGTGGTTTTGTAAAAGAGATGAAGAAATTCCCTTTATTTGCAGCAGATTAGAATCTTACAAGTACCACATTGCTTGGATATTGCAGAGTATGTGCAGATATTATCCCAAATGTGACAATTGTTTGAAACACACGGTGAAGTTCAAGAGTTACTTATTGTTGAAGATTTTTCAACAATAAGCAACTGGCATCCAAGTTTGTGTTTGTAACAAAATCTGTTAGCAGAATTGAAAGAAAGCTAATTACTTTCTGCCTTAACTTCTGGAAGACTTGCACCAAAGAAAAGCAGGGGGAGTGGGGAAGATAAATGGGAAAGAGAAACAAGCCCTCCCTTTCTACAGAGTGACAAGTTATTTCAGTTAAAGCCATCTTGTGAAACCAAAAGACAAACATTTGCCAAGTGATTGCTGTTTACAAGGAATAAATCAGATTCATTTTGTATTTGGACTTCAGTGCAGAATAAACCAGTAAGCACCACAGTATTAGTGATTCTGCCCTGTAACACCAACTGCCGCTTCTTTAGAGCAGGAAATCAGAACAGGCTGACACTGTACTCTTCTCATCTGTCAAGTTTCTCTGGTTTTCCTGATCTTCCATGTTTGTTGAGAAACTGCTGAATTGAGCAATTTCTGCAGTTGCACAAGATGCCAGCTCTTGGCTGTGCCTGCCTACCATTCTCACCTGAGCAGAGGCAGGTGAATCCCACAGCTCCCAGAGGAGCTCCAGCCTTTTGCTCTGCCCCACCCTCGAGCCAGACCACTGACTCCAGCAGGACTGTACTTTCCATTCCATTTCCTATCCTTCAAAAAGCATTTGATACAGATCAGAGCATGAATCCATACGAAATTGAAAGCTGAGCCTGGTTTGTGCTGAAGCTTTTAGTATCTCTGTCCTGCTTCTGTGATTCTTAAATAGTTCTTCACCTTCTAGGACTAGACAAAATGGAACAGGAGAAGGTGAAACCAAGGAATATCAGCTGAAAATGGAACTTGGCAAGAAGTTTAGAAGGGCAGCAAAAGGCACCACTGTCTCATGAAAGCTCATTTCTCTGACCTACACACTGAACTCCACCTGGAGTTACACTTCATTAAATTACTCTTACCCTGTCTGTCAACTCCAAACTGGACAATTACCATTCTTTGATTAATCCAGAATAAGAAAAATGGATACTGAACACACAGTGTTTTTCTACTTTAATTTGGTCAGACTTGATAGACAAGCTTTGTGCTCAGGTCCTTAGGTAAACTCCCTTGGTTCTCTCACAGGTCATAAAAAGGCATTTTCTTATGCAAAGTTTACTTAGGTTCTGTAACAAGAAAGAGAATATAGCAGAGCTATGCAGTGAGTGCACCTGAAAGGGAGAAGTGTACTTTGACTCTCAACAAGCACTCAGGGAAGACATGGACAATGAAAATCATAACCCAGAACACTCTTTGAGCAGCACTGATTAATGTAAACCCTTGCACATTCAAAAGCTATTACATTACCATCGACCTGGCTGAGTGAAATCCTTTTTAAAATCATTGTTTATACCACCACCAGCTACTTATACCCAGAAGTACCAGTCAGTTATGGCACTTGACTAAAAATAAGAAACATAATCACCTTTTAAAGCAGCTTATCTAACATTTACACTCAGCTCTAACAGCATGCCTCATCTCCCCAGCCAGCACTATCCAGTGATTTTGGTCACGCACAGTTTTTAGGAAAAATCATTTCTATGCTGCATCTCTGCCTCCAGAAATGAGCTCCCCATGCCAGGCCAGGCATGACTACACAGCTTCACTCTGTGATGGGGAAAGAGTCTGCCTGAACACGAGAGGAGCAAGATGCAGAGCTTTCTGCAGCTTAAGGCTGTGAACCATGGGCAGTAAAACCTGAGCAATACAGCTGAGAACCAACTGCAGTCCTGGTTATCCCCTGCTGTACCATGATTGTCCCATTACTAAACAAAAAAAAAAAAATATTTCTAAAAAAAAAAGTGCATGCAGCTCTTACTATGGTACCACAGGTACCCATGCTTTTTGTACTGTTTTGCTCTTGTAAAAACCACTGTATGTTTTTTATGTAGGAATCCATACACTACGTGCGCTACAGCATGAAACTAGAAATAAGATCCATTATTTTTGGAGTAAGTTGTGTTTTCTTTAGCTGAGCCAAGATAAATGCAAAGTAAATGCAGTAGCTATGCTGACATTTTTCAACTGTCACTTGATCTATTTTAAACAGTTAATACTTAAGGCAACTATGGTTTTAAAACATTTACTTTAGTACCTATTTACTGCACAAAAATGTTGTTGTGTGCTTTAGTTTATAAGCCTTTTGGAAATCCAACCAAACAAACCACGTCCAAAAAATCCCACTTGCTGTAAGAGTATCAGTTCAACACCTGGGTACCTTGAATTTTTTGGTTTTTTCTTTTCACAATTCTCTTTCCAAGGCAGTGCAGTTGGAGAAGCTAAGTCTGAGCACTCTGACTGACAGGAGGTCAGTAACTAATCAGTGCCACCAGTTGTGTATCAATCTTTCCATCTTCTCATCTGAACAACTGAGCTTCTGTCAACCAACTCCAGAAAAACTACCTTTTTAAAAGGCTTCACAATAACAAGAAACAAACTGAGCTTTTTTCCTAAGCTCAATCCTGTATATTGTGGAAGTTCAGCACTGTCCAGGGGAAGTGCAGCCTCCTCATCCATTTGAAGAGGAATTATCAGTGAGAGCCCTCGGTGACCTACCCCGAAATAAAAGTGAGAGACAACACAGAGATATGACCATGATCACAGAACTCATATGGTAACTCCCCAAACTGCAGAAATCATTTAATCACAGCCCTCTGCAGAAAAAAGCAGCTCATGTTAAAGCACTATAAATCACATCCCACCCAAGAGTAGAATTTTCTAAGAGATTTGATGTAAATCAAGAAAATGGACAACACTGTGATCAAGATTTATATGCCAACAGAAAGCTAAATAGAGGTTTATGCTATTTATTTCTGAGCTTCCAGCACTCAATTTTTTTTTATTTGTTCTTCTTTCTTGAAGAAATAGAAATTTCCCACGCCCAGGAGCTCACATGCCATGACAGAAAGTTCATGACCACAAAGAAAACTTTCCATTTATACCACAGCTTCTCTCTCAGGTTTTTTATATCTTTTATAAACACAAGTGAATTGCATATGAGCAGCAAAATAAGCAGGGAAATGCTTTTATTTCTTAGAAGAGTTCAGAGGTGAACTCCTTAACATTGTGCAGGGACACCACAACAAAACTAAAAAGCTCTCCTGACTGCCTGCAACGTGTTGTATTACTCATGCAATTATTTCTGAAACAACAGATTACTTAAATCAAACTGGTGGGTAATTATCCTTGCCCTCTGAGTGAAATACCCTGCAAATATCCTATGGAGCCATCAACCAGCTCAGTCACATCTCACAGTAACACAGCTGTTGGGTAACGGGTGTACCAAGCACCTCACAAGAACCGAGCTCTGCCAGCCCCCCTACCTCTGACCCACACAAGTGGAAATATCTTGTAAGCTGAAACAGGATCAGCTGCTACCAGCAAAGGCTAGAATCTTCATGTCCAACTGCCTGATTGAATTGTATCTATATTAATTCTACACTAACCTTCCCTCCAAACATGGCACTACTCTGTCTGCTCAACTCCTCACCCGCCAGGGTTTATTCCACTATGGAAAACACCACCATTTGGGATCCATTTTAAAGGCTCTTTTCTTCTCCCACCCAAATATCCTCAATCTTTCAAAAGACTGTTTTATTTTTATCTGGATTCTAATGAGATGCGACAGCTATAAATTAATTTAAAAAAAAAAAGAAGAAAAAAAAGTCTCCTTTCTCTTGAGAGTCCCCAGTTGTCACTATTTTTAGTTTTGTATCTAAGAACACCTGAGCAAGCACCAACTTGCTCCAGACTGCATTACACCATGCAGGGGAAGGGCAGAGCACCAAGCTGGTCCAGGAGCTCACACATCCCAAAAGCAGCTTCCAACCTCAAATTACAGAGCAGCTGAAGGGTCTACGGAGAAATCCTGCAGGGCTCAAGACCTTTGCCTTTAACTACTGCTGTGGACAAATTCTCTGTATTTAGGGTCACCTCTAGTGAAACCTGCTGGACTCTACACCACAGACATGGTGATGTGAGGAACCTACGGCCAGCGGGATGTGAGAGCTGCTGCAGAGCAATGAACGTGTCAATGCTAGAGCCGGGCAGCTTCAGGGAACCCGCACCCACACCGTGCTGTGCACAGCCCGCTCCGGACAGGCGGGGCGGGGCGAGCAGCGCTGAGGGCTCGCCGGGGACTCACCCGGGCCAGGCAGGGACAGGCTGAGGGACCCCGGGCACCCAGCCTGGGTTACGGTCACAGAGCACGGCGAGAGCCGGGACAGCGGCAAGGCAGCTGAGCCTGGACGCGAAGGAGCCGCTCGCCAGCACGAGGAGCGGCGAGTGAGGGCTCGGCTGTGCGCCTGAGCCTGACCCGAAGTGCGAGCAGGGCCGCCGACAGCACGAGGGGCACAGACCCGGCCCCGGGCGGTGCAGCCCATGGGCTCGGGAGCGACGGGAGCGCGGCCACGGCGGCGGCGGGAGAGGCCGCTGCTCTCGGCCCGGCCCCGCTCCCTGCTCTGCCCTCGCTGCCCAGCCCTGCCCTGCCCTGCCCTCGCTGCCCCGCCGGACCCACCCGCGGCCGCAGCCCGGCCGAGCGCAGCCCCGCGCCCCGGGAGCGGCCCCGGCCGGGGAGCCCCGCGAGCGGCCCCGGCCGGTCCTTACCCCGCCGTCATCACCACGTTGTAGATAACGAGGTAGCCCGTGGCCAGGGCGCCCGGGCCCTTCCTGCGCCGCGCCTGCTGCCCGCCGTAGCCGTTGTCCGCCCGGCTCCCGCCGCTCCCGGCCGCCGCCATCTCGCGGCTCCCGCGCCCCGCCCGCTGCCGGCGCTCGGCGGGCGCGGGGCGGGACTTCCCGCGCGCCGGGCGGGGACGGCTCCGCGCAGCCGCGGCAGCGCCCGCGCCCCTCACACCGCGGGGCCGGCTCGGCTCCGTTCGGCCCGGCCCGGGAGCTGCGGCGGTACCGCGGGGCAGGGAGCGGGGCCCAGCCGGGGATCAGCGCCCTGAGCGCTCGGTTTTCAGGGCTGGTTCTAAACGCCCCTCTGCTGGCAGAAATAGGTGTGCCGTGTCCCTAGAGACGTTAACGGCGTTATTTCTGGAATACATCGTAGGTTTTCATCGCTTTTATAATGTAATTCAGAGGAGAGGCGATCTCCATTAATACGTACAAACATCTCAAAGGCAGGTGCCAAGAGGTTGCTGCCAGGCTTTTCAGTGTGCCCAGCCACAGAACAGGGAGCAATGGCCATAAACTCACACGAGAGGTTTCGCCTCAGCTTGAGGAAAAGCTGCTTTACACTGAAGGTGGCAGAGCACTTGAACAGGCTGCCCAGCGAAGCCGTGGAGTTTCCCTCCCTGGAGACATTCCAAACCCAGCCAGACACGTCCCTGTGTCACCTGCTCTGGTGACCCTGCCTGGGCAGGGGATTGGACTGGATAATCTCCAGAGCCTCTTCCCACCCTACAATGCTGTGATGCTGTGTGAATGAGAAGTTGTAACTCATTTCCTGCTGAAGCTCCCTACAGGAGCAAAAGCCTAGAAAGCATTGCTTTCCCAGCAACAAACAGAACTGCTTTTCTGAACAGCCACAACAGAAGAATTTTTATTTTTTCTCCCCTACAGAAATTGTAAACACGTCGTGGAGTTACTTCTCCATTCCCATAAACATTTCTCAGTTTATTTCCCATGCATGTCGTGGTGCAGTCCCTTTATGAGCAGTGCAGAATAACAGCATAAGCCTCACTCCCCATCTCAGAAAATTCTGCTTCCATCTGAGTATTTTTGTGGCTTATAAATTCATGTGCATATCTCTTGCAGACAATAGGGCGTAAAAGGCAGGATGATTTATGAGAACTCAATTTTCAAACAGCTATGCTTTAGTGCAATATTTCAATAAATGTAACAAATTTCAGAAAAACAAATCATTCATTATTCATGTATGCAAGTAAAAAAAAAAAAGGCCTCTGTTTGCAAAGTCTGACAGTCACTGCAGAGGAGAGGAGTGTGCAGTCCAGGGCTGCTTTCCTTGTCAGCAAAGGGAAATGGGGACCCAGTGACTGCACGCCACACATGCAATTAGCAAAGGTCTCCTCATCAAGCAGAAATGTGCACAGGATGCTTGGGAGGTTGGACAGTTTGGTCATTAAGTAAATTAAGTTTCTGCAAATCCAGAAACACAAGTAGTGAAAAACAGCAGGCAGCCCCAAATTCTCCATTGTCTCTTGAGAAGACTGAATGTTATACAAAAGAAATACAAGGAGAATTAAGTGGCCCATCTCTGGCAGTTCCTGTGTCTTGCATAACCTCTGCTATTGGGGTTTCAGCCCTATGACACCCCAATACTCTACTTCTGCAAACATTATACAAGCAAGGGAAGGTTTATAGAAAGAGGGAATGCCTTTTATTAAACATGGCTGGCAAAATGAGACAGGGTTTCAAGTACATAAAATATCTTTCTTCAGTGGAAATAGAATTCTATCAAACAAAGCAAAAAATTCAAGGTCAAATACAGCTTGCAGTCAATTGCTCAGAGCTGAATCAGATGCATGTCACATAATTTTGGAAGTCGAGGTCATTGTTTCCTGCAGAATAGAATGGATGTTAATAGGAAGCTAGAGGGAGATGGTAAACCCCTTGGAATATCCTTGGGGCAAAAGAAAAATAGGCAGTTTATAGCCTGTGGAACACAAAAGGAGTAGTGAAGGAGGAGGGGGAAGGGAAGATCTGTGCAGGAACAGCAATTCTGAGTCTGTGGGCTTTGATACCCAGTGCACCCACAGACCTTGCTTTGCCTGCAGAGCAGCCCAGCAGAACCAGAGCTTTTCCTGCTTCAGGCAGGTGCCTCCCTACAGTAGGACACCAGCAGTCACTGAACACAGCCAGGTACAGTCACTGAACAAAGCCAGTACAGTCACGAGACAGTGGGGCACGCCTGCTAAGATGGCTCTTGGAAGGGCTGAGGATTTGCTCAAGAAGCATGTTGCTACAAGCAGGGTGTTTGCACAATCTTTGCTTTAAGGAGAGTCTGTGTGGTCCTGCATGGCCTGTGGTGATGTGGGCTGCATGACAGCAGAAGTCTGAATTAAGGCAGCACAAGCAGCTTTGTGCTAATCTCTTTTAGAGTTTTTAGAAACATTGGTGTAAGTCAGTATCTACATTGAGTCTTCCCTGATTTTTTTCTCTCTTCCTCCCACAGTCTTCCAGAACTCTATGTTTCCCTACCATATGGGAGTTCCCAACTGTGAAACAAGCCCAGAGCCACCCTGGAGCCCCATCCACGTTCCCATGGAGGCCTGTGGTGACACTGGGGACGTTGCAGAGCGCGAGGCCACGAGTGCCAGCCCCGGGCTGCAGCTGGTGGCACTGGGGCAGAGCAGCCTCCACACAGCACCAGCCAGGGCAGGAGAAGGGCTGCAGCACCACAGACATCGGGGAGGCTCTGCTGTGGCCACCTGAGGGGCAGGAGGAGAAGCTTGGCCAAGGTGGACGCGGTGACGCTGCAATAGAGCATACGAGGAGTGTGCTTTGTGGTAGTATTTATTTAGGAACCGTGAGTAACTACAGCCGTAGCGGTCTCATCTTTGCAATTCTGATGGTTTAACAAACAGGGAGAACATTAGCATATTTTTATTAAGGTATAAAATACACCCCGTTGCCTAAAACATTAAAAAAAAAAAAAAAGTGAGGAAAGCTCTGTATGCTCTAAATCAGATTCAAAACCTTTCTGTATAAGGAGTTGTGGCAATACTGTGTTTAGTATAACAAGAGGTTTTTATCAATTGAAAAGAAAGACATGCTGGCAATCTGAACTTAGCAACAAAGAGTAAAGCAGTTACAAACTGTTGTGTCACCCACATTAGTTGAGCTTTGAATGCAGAAGAGCAAATCATATGAAACATACACAACTAGGTAATATCAAACAACCTAAGGTTGGTAATGTACACACCTGTATTAAAGTACACTGACTATTTAATGGTGAGGATTTAAGGTAATGTCTTTTTTTTAAAAGAGGTAACCTTTGAAATGCAAATGGTTGCACTTTGCACACAAAAAGTGGAAAAGAAAAAAGAGTCACTTTTGGAATGATACATAGGTATAAGACACACTGGTTTTGGATTATGCATAATCACCTTGCAGCCTCTGATATTACCTCTGAACGACAAGAAAAAAAAATTAAAAAGTGCCAATACTGTGAAAGGAAAGCAAAGTTACTAAGTCTGAGTGCGTTAACCATTTCTGAGAAAAAAAATGGGGTTTGGATTTTTTTTGTTTTTTCTGCGTTTTTAAAAAACGCAACAGCCTTACTGGTGCAGGTTCAAGACAAAAACAAGACAGTCAAGCTCATAAGGTAGAAATAGGTCCTATATAGGTTAAGATTCTTTGGACATTGCTAAGAATAGAGGAGTTTGTAATCCAGGCTACTATCTTTTTGGCTACTCAAAAAATCTGTGGGAGTTTCCAGCTTATCATCAGTTGAAATCTGTTTTGCAATTGCCAAATAAATGCAAATAAAACTTTAACTACCCTGGGATTCCATTCACAGACATGCACAGAGAAATCACTGATTGTGTAATAACCTGTTTTTTCACAGCAGCATAGATATGAATCGTAAGCCTTTATCAGACTGACCAGAAACACAGAAAATATTCTCAGTCTTTGTGTTTTCAGTCTGTTTCTTAAGTAGGCAGCTGCAACTGCACTGAAGTGACAGGCTCCATAAGGGAAAGATGACAAAGTGGGATCAGCTGGCTAAAAGCAAGATCAGGAGTATCTCAGGAAACCACCTGGATGTTTAATGCTTGCCAGAAATACAAGGGCACTAACAGCTCACTGTCAGAGGCAGTGAAAATATTTGAAGTTTGGTCTGTGAGACTCTGCTTAAAGGAAACAAGAAATGAACCATGCCAACATACAAATTGCAATGCTGGCTGTGTCAAACCTTCCCTTAGAGAAGATGCAGCTCAGCCTATTCCTCAGCACTGGAGAGATTCACTGCATGTCTGGCCAACAATTCCTTTAAAGTAGATCTTGAGGAGCCAACTTAAGCTGCGGTTTTGGCTGAGAAAAGTGATGGCAAAGAGCAATGAAATCAGTAAATAGACTATTTTTCTTTAAGATGTTCAGAATATAACTTAGTTTCCATACATGTGATTTTAAAAGTAGCTTGGGCAACTTAGTTGATGGCTTGCTTAAAGTCAATCCAATCATGCTAGCAACTTAAAAAGCCTGCTGGTTGGAAATAATGCCCATACATAAAGCTAACAGGTATCAACTGATCATGCTGAAAAAACAACCCCCCAAAGACCTACGTTTCACACAAGGTGCTTTTGATAACTTGGTTTTCTGAGCCTTATAAGGAGAGTCTTTAAATATATTTTATTTTAGCCTTGTTTCATTCTTCCTCCTCTTCACCTTCTTCGCCTTCTCCCTCTCCTTCTGCCATTGTTTCCACAAGGAGCTCTGCGGTGCACGTGGCTTCCCCAAGGCTGTTAACAGCTTTGCAGGTGTATTTGGCATCATCGTCCCCACACACTTCAGAAATAGTCAAAGAACAGTTCCCTTCCTCGTCGTAATCTATCTGGAAGTGACGGGACTCCTTGACAGGCTGATCGTCCTTGAACCACATCACCTCGGGGTCGGGATAGCCTGCGAGAGCAGAGAGAGAACAGCACTGCAATGAACGAGCAATTAACTCAGCACTAATTACCTCGTGCTCTAATTCCCGTGTGGGGACGTGCCTATGTGTTGATAGACAAATATTTCATTGACTTCCATGGAAAATAAATGTAGATGATGT